CGTGGGGTATTTTGTTAAATTATGCTAATTCATTCCTGATACAAACATCTTCTGTTGTGTAATATTACGGCTCCCCGGTGATAATTTACTTGCTGGGGTACTTTTGTTATTTTTCGAAAAGTTGGGATATTTTTTTATACATGGCAAAAGTTGAACATTTTTTTATTCTCTCTTTTATTTATTTATATTTGCGGCTAAACCGCCTATTTTTAGAAGCATAGATTTTATTGGATATATATAGTAAAATCAAGATACATGTATAACTACTGGCTATCGTCTTGTTTGGGTGTGGTCACACCATGCCCATCTGGTGTGACACACATCCTTGTTACCAGTATCTCATCGTATTGCTGAATGAGGACAGAGTGTTTGGTCAGGTATCGAAGAGTCAGCTCGATAATACTCACTGAAAAGCACCTCGGCATTATCACAAAGATTTCTACACCCGCGTCCGTCACGAAGACCGCGCATTTAGCAAGAGCTTTTTAAGCCATTTGACTTCGTGCACTGGAACGGACTCTTAGAATAAGTACGCTCAAGGAGTGGGGTGAAAGCCCAAGCATAAATGCTTGTATAGCGATAGCGATTGCGCAGTGTCATATTTATAAATGATAGAAAATGCTAGCGCAGGAGATGTAATGGTGCAAGAAGTGTAATCTTGTGTCGCAGTACAATACGATATAATTGTATACTCTTACACTGTGTGATTTTACAAGTACGATAATGTTAAAATTGAACCTGTGGTACACATGCATGGAGCTCGAGGGGAAGCTATGACATCTCGGGTTCGCATTGACAAACGCGCAGAGAAAAGGTTTGTGCTGTACTACCAGGAGCTGCATCGTGTGAGGCTAGCTGCCTACGTGTCCAACACGCCTTCGAGACGCATGACACAACATCACAGTTCATTCGCTCAATTGTTTCACAAACTAAAATTGTGGCTAACACTCTTTCGGACAAAATCCAGCTCACAACTTTATAATAGGAATCGGTTTCGTCCAAGACTGATCATTCGAGCATCCAGAATGGTTTCATATACAGTTATAGCAACTAAGTTTTGACAGAAAAGTTCGGGTAGAGGAATCAAATTCTCAACTAAAAAATTTATTAATAGCGAATTTAAACAGAATAAACAATCTGTTTAAATTCGCTATTAATAACTACAATCGAGCTATTGATTTTTTGCACGTGTTGCTAGGTCGTTTTTAATAAAATCGAACATTTCATCTTTGGTGATTTTTCCACTTCCGACCATCTGTTTAAAATACTCCGTGAGCATTTCAAGATGCACTGTAGGATCAAGCTTTCCTGAAAATTGAGGTAACGGAGGAAATATTTTGAGAACATCGGCAATCTTTTTGCCGGACCTTTCTTCAACATTTTCTTGATCCTCGGCGTAACGCCTGTTGAGGCGTGTACTGGCGATACCTCCACACTGTCCGAAGTCGTTCTCAGATTGTGGCTAATAGTCCCCAAAGCAACATAACAGTTTGCAGATAGACAAAGCGACGCAGTGAGAAGTAGTCGAATACCCATGACCAGATGGTACTACTGTTGAGACGATGGTGGTGACAGGGATTATTTGAAAATGACCCAATAATGGAATCCAAGCTCCAAAATCATGAACCATGTACTGAGCTAGCGTACCTGTCGCATATAGGCTTTAACAGCTCGCAAATACTGTATGAGTGTTGATCTGTAGGCAAGGACCAACCAAATCAATTTCATTCATATTTATCATTCATAATTATACCTTGGAAATAAGCTTCTGTGGTGATTTGGCAAAAATCTGAATGATGAAATTAAGTAGTATTGTGACATCTGGCTACGAACTCCACAGTGAGCCATACGCACCGTGTGATCAGATTCTGATCTTGAAGTTGATTGACCCCCAATCGAAAAAATGCAGCCACGACATCATTACCACTAGGCTGGTCTGAACTCATTTTTTGACAACTTGAGCACCCGCTTAATTTTTCCCTAACTTTTCGTTGTACGATGATGTAAGTAAGTAAGTATCTTACGATCGTGAGATTTTCGTTGCGGATATTAAATCCACTGCATGTTCAGAGGCTTCTAAGTGTGTGGTTTCTACCGTAATATATAATTTCTGCCGGTTGCCATTCACGTTAAGCGAAAAGACCTCCAGCACTAACTATGCGACAGACTAATTCAACCTTGGATGATTATTGGCTAATAAACTTGTTTCTCATAAAAAGGTAATCACACTGTAATCTGGTCTCTAAAAATAAAAAGAACGACGTTAGTGACATCTGGCTACGAAACCCAAAGTGAGTATAGATGCCGTGTGATCAAACTCAGTCCTTGGAACCCTTAAACGAGAAAGTGCAGCCACGACACCAAATACCACTAGGCTAAGCAGCCGCTTAATTTCTCACCATCTTTTCGCAATACAATGAAGTAGATACATTTCTTTCAACATGAGATCTTCAACACGGATAGCTGAGGAAGGTGCCAGCAGCAAATCTACCGTATGCTGATAGGCTTCTGAATATGTACATAGATCGCCGCTTGCCGATCTCAGCCATTCATGTTAGGTGGAAAGACCTTCTGCACAAAGTTCGCAGCAGACTGATTTATTAACTGATTTAATTACGAATTTCTTCAAACAGTTTTATGCTCTTGTGTGGCCCACATTTCATTCTGCAATCATACAAAAAACTTAACTCTCGATTTTCGACAGCAACCCAAACTACAACTACCACAGGGCGGGCAAATGACCGGTTGTACTGCCTACCATAATACTGATGTTCTTGTGTCAGAATGGTCTATATTTTAGAATTTCCCCTCGGTTGTAAATAGCTCATCAAGTGTTTCATTGGGCTAATTTGGCAAGAGAATGATAATGTAAAGCTTAACCGCTTAATGGGACCCATTGAAAATGTTTCGGATATAAATTATAGGAAACCAGCAATTTTTCTTTTTTTGGACAATAAACCCGCTTCTAAGAATTGCAGGATTCGGCTCGAAGCCAGTCTACAAACGGCGATCCTTGTCCAGCTGCATACCTGTGATTTTCATGACATTGAATGTTTAGATTACCTTAAAAAAGAAAATATGTTTCTATATGTAGACTTTGAGACTTGAACGAACAACAAGCTGCACAAAAATTCCCCGATAGAAGTGAAACCATGACCTACCAGATAGGAGAAAATTATAAGTTTCTTACGCGAACTGCTGTGAGGTTGTGTAATTCTATTGAAACTTGGCATTTTGGCGTCTAGAAAGTTTGAGTTTCTTTGTCTGGAATACAAGCGATTATTTTTTCTCAATAGTCAGCTCTATTTAAAAGACTGTCTGGCGTGGACAGCCGAACGGATTATCGATCCACGCCTATTTTGCTCTCGCCTTGGTGTGTCTTTGATTTACGTTCTACTTTAAAATTATTGTGAATTAAGTTTTGATCAGCCCCGTGGGTGGAGGTTATCCTGATTACAATTCTGGATAACCTCCAATTGTTATCGTCTATTAAACAACTTCGAATATTAATATCTTTTCGAAAAATTATATTTCTAATATGCAGCTATTTATCTTTTGACAAGTAATAGTATGTATAGAATGTAAGCCGAACGCGCATAAGAGTACAAAACTGTCAGATAATTGCAAAAGATTAGTTTTAGGAAAAACCTATGGAAGATCAATTTTAATGAAAACTGACTTCAGGATTACGATATGATTTTGAGAAGATTTTAACTAACAAATAAACACTCATACAGAGTTGTCAGGCTTTTTAAGCATATGTTGTGACAGGTAGTCTGGCAATCGAGTCACTAAATTATTTCCAGATCATCATTGTATCCACCATTGCCTCAACTACAATACCAATCTGGTCATAAGAATTTGTCTTTTACTTACGACGTCGGTGTATCTTTTCGCCGATTGTCACATTGCTTTGGGACCCCTGAAGACGCTAGCACGTATTTTCTTCACAAAGTTGATTTCACGTTTACATTTCTTTCAGTTGGTTAAAATTGCTGCCTATTTCTCGCTGAGCTTTTTTGTGTTCCTTCCAGAATTTTTCTTTGGAAAACATAACTTAAGTATAATTGAGATGCAGCAAAAAGTTGTGAGCTGGGCTATGTTAAAAAGAGAGTCAGCCACGTTTATAATTTGTGAACAGATGAGCGAATGCAATTGTGATGTTGTTTCATGCGTCTCGATGGTGTGATGGATATGTAGGCTCACACGATGCGTTTTGAAGAGGTTGTTATTATAATTAGTTAGCAGATGTCACGTAGCGCAGGCGAGGAAACGTTGGCGGAGGAAGGCGAAGTCGTTGGCGCA